CCAATCTCACATCAATGTTTCTCTCTCACTTTCTCTCTCTCTCTCTCTCAGATCAATAAAAATATGTTAAAAAAAATAAAATGGTTAATTTTGTTATGTGGTTTTCACCCCAATAAAGAAAAGAAAAGCAGGAAACAGAGGTAAAAGAGAAGAGGCGAAAAGTTGTTGGAAAGGGGGAACATAACTGATTCTTTCCTCTACATTATTTTGAATAAATAATCTCTCTATATAATTTCTGAACATTAAATCCTCTAAATAATCTCCTTCCAATTCTTTTTTTTCCCCCCAATATTTTGTTCAGAGTGGGAGGGAAAGAGAGAGAGAGAAACATCGATGTGAAAGGGACACATCAAGTGGTTGCCACCCACATGACCCAAACAGGGCCGGGAACAAACTACAACCGATGTACGTGCCCTTAGCAGGATCTGAACCAAGGTCACTCTGGACCACAGGCCGATGCTCTAACCACTGAGCAAAATCGGCCAGGTCTCCTTTCAATTACTTTTAACTGAATAGCCAATGATGATAATGTAAGGATAACAAACACTTCCTTTTTCATTGAAAAATATACATGTAATTAAGATTGACGGAAAGATCAACATATAATTAAGGAAAAATATTTGAAAATTTTCTTCAATAAGAAAATGCATAAAACAGGAAAAAAGATGAACTCTTGAATCTGTAATACAGCTTATAAATGGGTAAAAACTGATAATATCCAAGATAATTAATAATGTCTTTTTTTTTTAATCACTATATATCAGGAGACTGGATTGTAAGCATTTCCTTATAATAAATATGGGAATCTTCTCACATCTAAAATTTTTCCAATAAAAGAAGAAGTAAATTATTTCCTACTAATTCAGACCAGGGAAAAAATTATATGGATCTTTTTTCATTTTCAGCATTCCCCAACTGTGTTCCATAAAACACTATTTAGAAAGGCATTATTATATATATATATATAGAGAGAGAGAGAGAGAGAGACATATATATATGTCTATATATATATATATATATAGAGAGAGAGAGAGAGAGAGAAGGGGGAAAGAAGGGAGGGAAAGAGAAAGGAAAAAGAAAAGGAAAGCAGCATATTAGAATTTCACTCTTGGGAGATTTACAGTGCATAGCAGCAGTGAGAAAGCCAGCTCACCTCTATTAAACCTACATTTCCCTGATTGATTAGGTACAGAACACTTCTCAGGCTATGTCTGTTAAACACATGAAACATCAATTTGTTAAAGACTGCTTAGACTTATACCATATAACATATAAATTAGATAACCTCATTATTAGCCTGAGGGATAAGACGTATCAAAGAATGATCAGCCCAGCCAGTATGGCACAGTGGATTGAGCGTTGTCCCACAGACTGAGAGGTCCCAGGTCGATTCCCAGTCAGGGCACATGTCTGGGTTGTGGGCTCAATCCCAAGTAGGAGTTGTGCAGAAGGCAGCCAATTGATGTTTCTATCTCTCTCTCTCTCCCTTCCTTTCTAAGAAAAAAAAAAAATCAATAAAAACATATTAAAAAAAAAAAAAAGAATGATTATCTGAATAAAATATTGTTTCATATTACCAGTTAATCAGAGCAAGAGTTTAGTGGCAAGAAAGAAGGGGGAGAAAAGGTGGTAATAGGAGGAAAAGAAGATAAATCTGGGAAAAGTTAGCTCTTCAAATTCCCTTTTATGAACTGCCCTTGTCCTGCCCTGTCAATTCTGACTGCCTATTATTCAACACATTTCTGCCCTGTTTGGGTTGCTCAGTTGGTTGGAGTGTTGTCCCACACACCAAAAGGCTGCAGGTTCAATTTCTGGTCAGGACACATACGTAGGTTGTAGGTTTGACCCCCAGTTGGGGCACAGGCAAGAGTCAACCAATTGATGTTTCTCTCACATCAATGTTTCTCTCTCTCCCTTCCTCTTTCTGAAAATCAATAAAAACATATCCTCAGGAAAGAATTTAAAAAAAAAAAAAAAAAGGAAGAAAAAGGAATATATATCTTTTTAAAATTGCAATTAGGATTGTAAAAAAATTTCACCTTGGTTCACTTTCCCCCTCCTCTCCCTTTTTGTTTACTTTTTTATGTTAATTCTTCATCCTAGGAGATAACTTAATAAGGAGATGTTAAATATTTGTCACAAATGTACTGAGTACTTCAAGTATAGAATTCACACTGCTATAATAATAAATCATATCCCAAAACAGAGCAATAATAATGGACAATTTAGCCCAGCCAGTGTGGCTCAGTGGATTAAGCATCATCCCATGGATTGAGAGGTGCTGGTTCAATTCCCGGTCAGGGCACATGCCCGAGTTGTGGGCTTAATCCCTCCTGGGCGGGTGGGAGGATAGAGGAGGCAGCCCATCTATGTTTCTTTCCCTCACTGATGTTCTATCTCTCTTAAAAAAAAAATCAATAAAAATATATTAAAATAATAATAATGGACAATTTAAGCATGAAGGTATTCGCAAATGGAGTTTCTTTTACTCAAGGCACTGATGTAAAATAGCAACAAAGTCTGAACTCTGCATATTATTTCCTGTTTGGGGGAAAATAATAGGAAAAATATGGAATTAGGAAAAAAAACAATATTTAGACATTTAGCTCAGAGGATAAGGGACAATCCAACTAGAAATAGTTTTACTAACAGAAAAGGTATAAGAAAATAAAGATATTTTTCACTGAGAAGTTATCATCTTTGGACCAAAAGGAAAATACTGATTATAACTACTGTCTCCAATATAGTGTGAACTAATCAAGAAAATCGAGGTTAATCCTAACAGACAAATTACTTAGAAACTACTTATTTTCATTTTAGCTCACAGTAAACAGTACATCTTCCTTCCCAGTCTCTGTTCAGCCTTTCTCTAATTAAAAAAAAAAGGGGGGGGGGGGCTAAGCAACCGAAGCCAACAAAGCCTTACTGACCATTTATCCCACACATGAAAAAAAAAAAAAAAAAACAAGCACAGTACAGGTATTATATGCACCTGATAATTCATTTTTTTATATGCTATTACCATAGGATGACAAGATTAGTCAGCTAAAGCAACCACTGGCTACATAACAAACCATACACATAAGATATTTTTAGGAATAACAGATCTGAAAAAGTTAGTAGCTAAATAAAATAAACTAGATACATTAAAGCAGACAGAATAAACTTCAACTTTGGTTACTGATTAAAAACTAAATGTGTGAATCTTAACTCAGAAATATAAAAGCAGTGGTTATGAAGTCAAAAGATGATGATCAAAATATTTCCCAGCACAGTGTTTTCTTGAAGTTATTACAATTTAAATTCTGATCATCAAATGTACTGCTCCAGAAACTGACTTTATCAGTAACCTAAAAGATGATCATTCAGCCTCAGTGACCAACTCAGTCAAAAGAGATTCACATTAAGAAGAGAACAATGAAAAAACTAGCACACCAGATTAATTTACAACAAAAATATCCTTACAGTGATCATAAAACTTACCCTTACTCTTTCCCAGTATAAGTACTAATCTAACTTGGTTGAATCAGTACTTTGCTGAATACAGAATTATAATAATGTGAAGTAGATCATCTTATGAGATAGTTCATCTAATCTGATAAACATTTCTGCACAACAGAGGAGAATACATGTCTGGTGACTGCACTGCTCATTTCCCAGATTCTCCATCTTTCAATCAAAATTTATTTTGCTTGTTCTTTTTTCTATCACCCATTGCATTTTCTGTTGAGGTGTGTTATCACTGACTAAGACATATCGAACTATTACTCCCATGAATCTTCAATGTTAACCACCCTTCCACTGTCCTGTCTAAGAGAAGGGCAACTTCATTTTCCTCTTTTCAATTTCTTAAATAGACAGTCTCATGTGTACTACCTATAATTGCAATAGAAACCACAAAGTAGTAGTTTTGGGGTTTTTTGTAGTTTTTGTAGAAACTGAAATTTAATTGTAAACACTGCAAAATCCAAGGAAATACAATTCAGTGCTGCAAAAATTTAAATATGCTTTGGTTCAAAGCAAAATGCTAAAAATTAACAACTAATGGTAGCTCATATAAGGGTACGGGTAGGCTTATATACTTAGACAACTATTATAAAAAGAATTCTACATTGCATAATGCTTTAAAAGTGCTTTACCACTCATTATAGCATTTAATTCTCATAACCATTCAATATTGAAATTGAAAATCTTCAAGAAAGAATAATCTAAAAATTTTAACTTTTAAAAGCCATTATAGTTCCTACTAATATTTTACAGTTAATGTTTTCATAACTATAACAGATAGTTGCTCTGAAATCAGAAAATATATCAAGACTATTTACACAGCAGAAAAAATTCCTTGTCTCATAAAATATATCATGGACTGTTAGGTCATAAATACATTAAAAAGTATTTAAATGGGCCTTTTCATTGGGCCTTGTTCTGAACTGAATGATAATTACACAAAGAAAATTTTAAAACAGACAGTTAGTCTTTGGTATGCCCAACAATTTCTTTCCAGATCCTTTGTACCAAATACTTCTTTAGGTACTTGGTATACTTATGACCCATTATAAATTGCTCTATGTAAAAATACATGGTATTTATTAGTTATATATGCATTAGGATAAATATATTTAAGTGAATAAATGCACTGAAGGATTTTAAGCCTAATCCTCAATTGTAATATAAAATATAAAATAAATAAAAAATAAAAATCATAGTGTAACAAAATCCAGGCATCAACCTACTAAGGGGCACTTTGTATAGAGTTCATGAAAGCATATCACATACACCTGATGTAAAAAATTTCTTCTTATCAAATGAGTTGTATCCTATTGAGGCTCATCAGTTACATTAAGGGGGAAAAAAAGCCATTATAGAGCACCATCACAATAAAAATCCAAATCAAGTTTACATGACAAAGTACATCTTTTTAATGGTTTAGAAATCTTTTCTAAATGAAAATAGAACATTAATATATCAATATTCAAAATAGAAAATGAAAGAGTTCTTACCTTACTACATCATCAATATTGTTCCTGTATACACCTTCAAGTCTTTCTGCAGGAAACCCCATAGCAATAATGTTTGGATAAATATCTGAGTACTTAAGTTAAGAAAATATCTGAAATATGCAACAATGAAAACTACATATACACATTTTAAAACATTGGATGATTATTTTTTTAAAAAAGAGCTTTCTCCACTATAGCTATGCTAGTAAAAATGGTCAAATTTACTTATCTATAAACCATTATATATAATTGAGAAATATAGGTAAATACATTAATTCTTTAAAAAATCCTCAAAATGATTATTTGGCAAAGTAATTTCCAAATCCCTCTACTTAGATTAACAATGCACCTAAGGTAATAATGCAGGTTCTCTATTTACAATATTTAGTTATATATGAAAAATGAAAACCTCAGACTTTATATCTTGGGACAAAACCCAAAAATCCAATTACAAATTTTTTTTAAAAAGCTACACAAACTCCTATTTTCTTGGTTATAAGACACCACGGTATAGAGAAAAGTAGATAAAATTAAAAATTAGAACATCAGATTTAAGAGCTGGCTATGCTTCTAACCAGTCATATAATATGGACAAGTCACTTAACCTTTTTAAACTTCAATTTTCCATTCCACGTGATTACATTGAAACAACCATTAAGATTTCCTCACCTTCAGTGTTGATGACTTGATAATACTGAACTATGAGAGAAACTTAAATCTCATTTCCTATCAAGGTAATCAATATTTAGCATGCCCATTCTATTCCCTTGTTACACACTATAGTTGACATAAAAATAAACTCCTACATTTAATAAGCATATCTAACTAAAAAAACACAAACAAATCTACATTTTTATGCACTGCACCCATCTACCAGCTCATTTCTTCTGGAGATCCATCAATCCTCTCTAATCCCAGGATTTTCTGACTAGAATCTTTAAAACAAACCAAGCTAATCTGCCAAAAGCTTCCATTCAAGACCATCTCTAAAGTTCTTCACCCACCTACTTCTGGACCCATTCATCTTCCAAATATAATTCAAAACTCACCTTTTCTAGGCCTTGTTTCTTCTTTACTTTCCGCTGTACTCTTATTATTGAGCTGATTTCACTATTTTTAAACCGAAAATTATCAAATTACTGAAAGCTTTTTTAAAAGATTATGTGTATAATCTATGTTCTCTTCATATGATTACTATATACTAATTGAACAAATTTACAGAATATTTTAAGGAAAAAAATGTGCACAATAGTGTATATATATTATGCTACCGTTTGGATAAAAAAGTAGTATTTCATAAAAGAAATAACATTTTCTTTTTTGATAAAAGAAATATTTACACATATTTAAAAAGGCTTAATAGGGTCTAACAGCTAAGTTCACAGGTACAATGCTGTTATGGATACTGTTCCAGCAAACCAACCATAAAGGACATTTTTGAGCCAATCTGATAAATTTTAATATAATCTGAATATTAGATGAGATGAAAATTTACTGAAATGAATAAGTAGACATGAATGAGTGAAAAAAAAGTTGTAAAAGAGAACGTACAGTGTGATACCACCCTGGTAAAAGAAAAAAATAAAATATGTATATCTATATCTCCAAATTATCGTATGTAGACAAAAAGATCACAAACTAAGATAATGAAAGTAATAATCACTGGGTAGTGGAAATATATATTTTTTTCCTCACTTTTGCTTGTTTTGTATTTTCTGTTTTTGACACAATGCACCTGTACTGGTCTGCAATAGATCTTTTAACTTATGTTTTATAATGTCTACTAAGTATCATGAGAAAATATTGTTTTGTCCTGTATGACTAGGAATCATTTCTGTATATAGTTTTGAAAAATGCTGAATTTCTACCTCCAATAATTATTATAATAATAGTATCTAATACTTACTAAGTGCCAGGAACAATTCTTGTCACTTTAACCTACATAATTTCACCCCAAATCTCAAACGGTTCTTCTACTATAAGATTCCAAAAGAAAACTATTAATATAATCATTTTTAACATCACAAATATTAGCTATCACCTATTAGTCTAAGAAAGTAGACCTACCTAAAATGTAGCTCTTGGTCCATTATTGTAATGTTTTAGGGTATTATGTTAATTCATGAGAAAAAAAAAGTAGAAGAGACAGAGGTTCAAATCAAGCCTATAGCAGTAAAATTTCTGAAAATGAATCATCTTTTCTTTTTAACTCTGTCTTGGAGCACAAACATAAAAATAAATGTGGGGCTTTTTTTATACTTTTTAAATTACTGACTTTAGAGAGAGAGAGAAAGGAAAGGGGGAAGAAAGAGAAACACTGATTTGTTGTTCTACTTATTTATGCATTCATTGGTTGATTCTTGAATGTGCCCTGACAGGGGATCGAACTCACAACCTTGGTGCATGGAGATGACACTCTAACCAATTGGGCTATCCAGCAAGGGCAAGAAAATGTGATATTAACAGAAGAAAATGAGGCAGCAGTAGGAAACTCAAAGCAGCGGCAGCTACCACCAATCCGGAATTCCTATCTAAAAAATTATAAATACATTTTAGTCAAAAGTACCCATTTAAATCATCCAAGTTTTCCTTAACAATACAAGGGGGCTATTTTTTATTAAATAGTAATTATTACTACTTCTGACAAACTTACCTAATCTAACCATTAAGTTCAATGAGAATGGTAGTAAGATTTTAGCTTTACAGAAAAGCACAGAAGTTGAAAATCCCTTTAAAATGCAGTCACTTTAACAAGGTCTAAACTCAAATTTATTCTTGCACTATGAATACTAACAAAGTAAATAAGTTTGCAAAAAACTCGGTTAACTTAATTAAGGAAACTATTTGTCTATATAACTATACATAAATGGGAATGTTAAGTACTCATTAAAGTAAACTCAATTGGCCTCCTTCATTCACTTAACCACTCAAAAACATATGGAACATTCTGTGGAAGGGGCACTGAGAATTTAAGGCTAAGTAAGTAAAGACTAGTGCACTCAAGGAGTCACTTCTTCTATCAGGGAAGACAGACACAGAGACCTACAACTGTGCCAAAGGCCCTATTATATGTATATCAAAATGTTCTAAGAGCTAGAGAAAGAGGGATTAATTCTGTAGGGGCCAAGATAAAGCTTCACAAAGTAGGTAACATGTTAGATAATCCTTAAGAAGTCAGACATCAGTAGACAGAAGAAACAAGAGCTATTACAACACTCCAAGCAGAGTACAGAGCAGAGATGTGGAAATACATAAAACATTCTAAAAAAGCGAACAGTTCAGTGCAGCTCACACACAAAGCTTTATGGAGAAGGCAGCAGGTCTGGCAGAAGATTAGGTCTAGTTTTAAGGATGCCATGGCAGGGAGTTAAATTTAATCAGACAAATAAGGAGTCAAAGGCCAGGATCAACATGGAGTCTCCTGCAGAGCAACAATTCATTGCCTTGCAATCTCTTGCAGAGTAACTATCAAATTCTTCCTTTAAAAATAATCTAGGAATTCAGTCTTTTTAAGGTTTCATTTTCCTCAGATTCTCACCTTCCTTATTCATAGAGTTTAAGATTGTACCCAAGACATTGGCATGTGCAAGACAGTATGCCAAATAAACTGTAATTTAATCCTAACAATCCTGTGAAGTAATATTACCATTTCATAGATGACAAAACTGAGGGTCAAAAAGATTGGGTCCCAAAGCCAGTAAGTAATGATTCAAACCCTTTCTGTACATAATTCCAAAAGCCATAATTATTTTAAGGAAAATTCTTCCCATAGGTCACATAACAAGCTATTTTTAAAATTCTAGTTAACTGAAAGTTACAATAACAACATGAAGCTATAACGTACATGGAACATGACTGGCCAAATAGAAAGTGATAAACAGATTTAAGAGGGGCAGTGATCAAAAAGCATCAAAAACAAATCTGAAGTTGCCTGATTCACAGGCGGAACACTGAACTAAACCATCAGCAAAGGTGAAGGAATCAAGTCAGACTAACGAGAAAACAAAAGACGAAGCAAGTTAGCAAATACCAATACTTCATTTAATTTAATTTCCCAAGAATTTCTGGGGATTTTCCCTGCTCTGTACATACCAAATTAATGCAGCTTAAAATTTTATTTTCTAAATTTAAAAGGGTGCACAGGTACAAAAGCTAGAACTACAAAAATATTAAGACAAAGAATGCTCCCAAGAATAGAGATTTTAAATAAAAAAGGAATGGCCAGATACAACACAGAACACAGGAACATTTAAATATTTACTAAATGTTAGGCCTTGTACTAAGCACTTAATGCACATCATCATTAACAAAGAAGACTAGAGTTTCATTCTCAGCTTTGTACCTTAAAAGCCTATGACTTCAGGTTAAGTTACTCAATATCTCTGGGCCTCAAATACTTTTGTTTTGTTTTTCTATAAAATAATGATAGTAACACTAGCTGTAACTTCTTCACTGGCTGTTTTAGGGATCAAATGAACTATCTGGAAATATCTTTAAAATCCATGAAACTGAAAGGGCTCTATAACTGTAAATAAGGGGTTATTATTTGAGGTTGCATGAATTAGAAAGGTCCTGTTATTTTAGTTTAAATGTCTCATTACAAAGCAACTCAATATAGTGTTTTTATAAACAAATTATAAAATTATTCCAATATAATAACTTAAATTCACTTTAGCACTAAACTTTAGTTTCTTTTTAACATTTTTTAATTATCTGCCAGTAGTGCCAAACCAGAAAGGAAAACTTACTGCCAAATAATTTATGAATTTTACTGAAGTTTTCTACTTCTCCAAACAATTGAAACCTCAAAACTTTTTTTCCACATTTTTATATTATACCAACCCATCTTGACTGAAAAGTTTACACATATTTTTGCTTTGAAATAGAAGTTTAGATCTCACTTTCTAACTCAAATATAACATTCTTAAAGGTAACATCAAGAATTTCTAGTAATTCTACTTGGCAATACTATAAATTGGTTCATTTCGCAAGAAATCTACAACCTGTAACAAAGAGCTATGAAATGTTGTACCTTTTATTCCAACAATCCCATTCTAATAATATACTCTAAAAAAAAAAAAAAAA